TAGAAAGGCTACTACACAAGAGATCTTACAGCAGTGCAGCTGCATGGGTACCTGTACTGCTGTAAGTTCTCCATTGTAAACATAGCCCCTAAGAAATGCTTTGTACGGTCTAATAAAATAAATAAATAAGTGTGTGTGTGTGTGTGTGTGTGTGTGTGTGTGTGTGTGTGTGTGTTTTAAAGAAATCAAATTCAAGTGACTGATTTAGTGACAAGAATGAGGACACAGAATTGGAGAATCATAGCTGCGTCACAAGTCTTTAATTGTTTGTAGTATCTTGAGTATCCTTCATCTGTTAAATATGTATGTTGAAAATAGAAAACTACCAGGAATATACATATTTCTGGGATTTAATATAGAAATATACATCTAGTTTTCTATTTTCATGTGACGCACTATTTTTTCTCTCTCTTCTGTAAGTAGAAACTAACATGCCTTTGCATTGTTTGTTTTTCATAATAACTCAGCAATGAAGGAAATAGGATTTAATTATTCTGTAGAGCTAATTGTTGTATGCATGAACTTAGAGCACCAAAAATAATCTTTTTAAAAATCTACCTTTCCATAGACACAGAGAGAACAATCATCTTTCACAATCACTGATTCACTAGCTGTCACTGTATTGTTGTCATCTTCCTTGATGACTCTTGCATTATTGTCCACATTTAAAGAACATCTATTATTCTCTGGTGACACCTAAAATAAGTGGGACTGGTTCTGCTACTTCTGGGAAAGAAGATTCTTAAGGGCAATTAAAATTCATATAGGCTAGCGACTTAAATTTGGGATTGACAGACTTTTCCCAGTTTCTGACACGAGTTAAAATATTAGTGATTAACTCTAAGTAGGATAAACTAACTTTTCCAGACTAACAAATAATACTTTTGTATACCATAATTTTTCAATTAATTTTATTAACTTTAATCCTTGTAACATTCTTGTGAAGAAGATAGGTAAGTAGTATTTCCACTTACAAATAGGGAAACAGATGATTGCTGAAGACAACTGTTGTTACTCCCTTGGGCTATCCTACTGATTATGCTTGCAAATACAGCATTCAGTTTATAAATGGATCAATTACATTTTACTTGTGGATTTGTGTTAAAGAAAATTGTAGGGTATGGTTGGATATGTTTACGTTTATATTGGATAGTAAAGCTTTTCTTCTAAAATAGGTGGCCTTCAAGAATATTTAATGTTTAAATAATATGCAAATAATGTTTGTAAAAATTGTGCTTTAGAAATGCAGTACTCTTTTTTGGTTTTTAAAATGAATTTCCAAGATGCATAATTATCTCGGTTTTTAAGGCTTCCATATGCATATCAGGTTTTCATTTTTTTGGCACCCACTGAACCAATTTTAGCAGTAGCGGGAAGGTGTAAATATGTCCCAAGAATGTATCTTAAGATGTCTGCTGGCCTGAAAAATGGAAAGAGTTATTTGTGAAACAATCACTTGGAATTTCCATGTTTTAAAACATTTTAATGACATTTTAGCATGACAGAAATTTCTGGAGAAATAGAAAGAATTGCAGATTCTAGCCCTTACTCCATGAGTCATTTTATGGGTGGTCTTGCTGAGTAAAGTCCTGGTTAGTGTGGGTAAGAGGGACAGAAACTCTTGACATCTGGATGATGTGAATCCCTTTGTGCATGTTATTTTGAAATAACAAGGCGAGCGTCCACGCTACCAAGCTTGTTATTTCGAAATAATGGGCTTGTTATTTTGAAATAATAATTCCTGCTTATGAAGAGGAATAAGCCTATTTCAGAAGTTATTTAGAAATAACTAGTGTAGACATAGCCTTTCTCATCTGATGATCCAAGAAATAAAATTAAATATCTTAATTCTTTAATTCTTTGTTTATTTATCATCCAATACAGACTTTGAATGACTAATCATCATTATTATGAAGGTAGTATTTAATTGTCCCACTCACCAAGGGCCCATTGTGCTAGAGACTATGAATATGCATAACAAAGATAAGTCGCTTCTTCAGAGAGCTTACAGTATTGTTTGAGACAACAGGTGGATACAGCAAGTACAGCGCACAAGGAAACAATGAGACAATGCTAGACAAGAGCAGTGATCACAATTCAACAACATCCCTAAATAATGGTTAAGTTTTTATGTAGGCATCATGGCAGTAGAGAGTTTTTGTGTACGCTACCAACTTTTGCCACAAAAAACTGCCTTTTAGTAACAAAACAGTGGGAGCGTATGTGTACAATATGACTCTTGTTAGGAAAAACGTCCAGTTTGGCGACTAAAATCTTCCACGCTAACAAGAGACTTTTTTTCTTTTCTCTTCCCTTTGTCAACAATAAAGAGCCAGTGTAAACACTGCTGTTTAATTTATCATCATGATTGGCTTCCACCAGTATCCCTGGTCACTCGGCTCAGTGTTTTGAAATCTGCTGCCCTGCAGCATACACTCCTCCCCTTTCAAAGCTCTGGGAACTGACAGCTAAGTTTGCTGCTCTGTTTGGGGAACTAAGAGCAAATCATTGGACTGTTCCTGTCTGCCTGCTGCTGTTATCCTAGTGCAGGGCAAAACTGCTACACCGACAGTGGCACAAAGGCAGTGCTGCTTTGACATTCCTCCAAATGGAGAGCTTATAGCACTACTCCTGATGCCGCTCTCAGTAGCTAAAGAGGTTGAGCAACAATCAGCTCTGTTTTTCCAGAACACTGCATTGTGGGATATATACCCACAGTGCATTGCTCACACTGTCAATGGTGTCCCTGTCAACAGAGGAAGCAAGTGTGAACGCACTCTGGCAATCTTTGTTTTGTTGACTTTTGGGTGTCAACTTAAGTTTTTGGACAACAAAACATAGTAGTGTAAGCATAGCCTGAATGAAGGATTTGGGAGACAATAAGATGTCTTTTTGGATGTTTAGCAGAGAGCCTTCCATGCTTGAGGAGAGGCATGGATGACAACATAAAGGTATTGGTTTGGAAAATGTAACAATTGAATGCTGGAAACATTGACAGTGCCAGAATTGAAAGAGGTCATTTTGATATTCTATTCAAGATGAGGGTAGATTGAGGGTAGGCTGCGCAGGACATTAAAAAGAAGACTTAATACTCTAGTTTGCTGTTCTGATTAAGTTGCCTATTAAATTAAATCTGATTAGATTGCCTTCTTGCCCCATCCCTGAATATGGGGGTGGGAATGGGAGGGAGGAGCTGTCCAATACTAAATACGAATAAAAACCTTGAATCAAATCTCTTCCAGTTGATATGTCAATTCAGAATATTTTGAGGGATGGAAGAATGCGAACCTTGTCACTCTGATTCTGGACTAGAGCCGTGCTTTATAATAAATGCTAATTTAAGATTTTTCCAACCCTGTTACATAGCTAGAAGTGTAGTAAAACTGCGAAAGTATGACAACATTCAGCAATAGTTTGTGCAGAAACATAGGTTTTGAAGTTTGAGTGAGCAAGTTTAGGTTAGAAATGCTGGGCTTATATTTACCATGAAGAAGTATCACAGTCAGTGGAGAAATAAGAAGGAATCTCATTTTAACACTCGAAGGTTGGTATCCATAATTGTGCAAAGTTCATTGCCCCAATTCCTCTGCTGACATTAGGGTTGTCAACGTGTAGTCTACTACATGATTAACTGATAAGCCTTGGCTTATCGTTTAATCTCGTTAACTACATTCACTCTCCTCGCCCGCTTGCTGCCTCTAATACAGCAGGAGTGGGAGCTGGTGCCAGTGAGGATCTGGATTTAAGCAGACTCCCTACAAGCACCAGATGTCTCTTCTCCTCTCTCCCTCCCCCCCCCCCTTTCCCCTGTGCTGCTGCCTCTGATAGAGAGGCAGCAGTAGGGAGAGCGAGGGGAGCCGTGGGAAGCTGGCTTTTGACGCTGCGCGTGCAGGCTCTATGTGCCTGCCTGCCCCCTTTGCTGCCTCCTACAGAGTCAGCAAGGGGAGGCAGGCAGGAGCTGGTGTTGTGGGGAGCCAGCTTAAAAGGCAGCCGTGCAGGGGAGGCTGCTGCAAAGCAGGCTGTGTCCTCAGCTGCCCGGGCTGGTCGCAGACAGAGGCTGGTCTGTGGCAGCAACCCTTGTCTGCTGGGGGAGGGGGGTCCAAGCTCCCCACAGACAGAGGCTGCTCCACCTCTCACGGAGCAGCTTTTGTCCATGATGAGCCTGGGCCCACTGCAGGCAAAGGCTGGTCCAGCAGCAGTCCCGGTACGCTCTGGGGTCTGAATTCCCAAAGGACAGAGGCTGCTCCAGCCTGCCCCCCTCATCCTCCACGCTGCTGCTTCTCTATCAGGAGCAGCCTCTGTCCATGAGGAGCTCGGATCCCCTACAGATAGGGGCTACTGCTGGACCAGCCTTTGTCTGCAGCCAGCTCAGGCCACTGCGAACAGAGGCTGCTTTGCTGCAGGCTCTCCTGCTCTTCCACCCCCCCGGCAGCTGCCACCCTGCACAGCTGCCTCTGAGTTAGAGGCAGCAGCACACGGTGGCAGGCAGATGGTCTGCATGGGGAGCTGGTTTTTAAACTGGCTCCCCTTATGGACCAGCTCCTGCCTGCCACTGCCTGATACAGATAACTGATACAGAGGCAGCAGCGTGGGACGGCAGGAGCTCCCCATGGGAGTGGGGGAGCTGGAGCTGCACAGGCTGCCAGCTCTGACCTGGGGACTATTGAATAGTTATGTAACTGATAAGATTTCATGTGGTTACATGACTGTCCAGTTACACTATATCTTACATCCCTTACCAGAAATACTAACATTCATAGGGAGCTCAAGTCCTGATCTGGAATTTGAACTTGGCCTTTTTTGGTCTAGAGGCCAGAATTCTGTCAGTTGAATCAGACTGAGAACTATAGATCATTTAAAAATATTTAGAAAGGGGTAATTCTTTTCTGAGTGCTGTCAAGAAGTTGATTATGTGCTTTTTGTAGCTTAGGTTTTTGCATGGTAGAGAAATGAGGTTGTATGACATTACTGAGTAATTCTCTATTTTTTGTCTCCCATAGGTTGGTATGTGGTGTGGCAACTGTTTTTGTCTAAGTTCAAGTTCCTGAGAGAGTTGATAGGAGACACAGGGTCCCAGCAGGGGGATAATGAGCCTTCAGAGTCTGAAGCTGAACAGGAGACTCCACCCACTCCACAGAGAGGTAGACCTAAATCAGCTCGGCAAAGAAGGGCACCAGCAGAAGAAGCAACTTAAAAAGAGCCCTCTGGGAATTCGTTAGTCAACTATGGACAGATCAAACACTTCTGCTACACTGTGTGATTGGGCAGTTTGGTTTTACTAAAGTAATGGACTGCAAAAAACCAAATATCTGTGAACCTTTACTTTTGGATTTCAGATATACAGTATT